ATTGGGGCTTTGCCGGCTACGCGGTAATCGAAGGCCAGCGCGTCTGTGTCCTTAGCTTCGAGAGCTGTAACCTTTAAGATGCTTTGGCAATGCTTAGGTGGCGAATGGAAGAGCCGAGCAACGAAGAGCCTGAATATGCACTACTTTGAAGCTCATGGTTCCGGCGGGCTGTGAGTCGAAGAACACGTGGGCAGGCAAGATTCCGGCAAGATCTGAATGGAGGGAAGACGAAGGCCCAAGCGTGATCGCAATCCTAGCCTTCCTGCTGCCAAAAATCGATACTTCCAGGTTCTACAGAGCCCTGGCTAACCAAGAACTGTCAACAATATCTGCCATGCAAAAGGGGCGTCTGACACTATAGCTTTGTGGGTGCCTACTTTGCTCTGCACGTTCGGGAATGCGTCTCTCTAATGACCTCGGCCGAAGGGCAATATTCACGCTGACTCTTCCTATATATATATATATACACACACACACACACATATATATATATATATATATATACACATGTATATGCAACATGCCCAACTAGCGTAAAGAACAGCTGGAAACTCGAAAGGTGCCTGCAAAGTAAACTCTCTTTGGAGCAGTGTGCTCGATAACTCTCTATCCGGCCCAAGCCACAGGCGTCTCTGGCATCTGACACGAACGCGGGTGCCTGTCGACACGTGTACTTCGAATGCTGACTCGTCAACAAGCCTCTACAGTTGTGTTGCTCAAACCTTCGACAAGTTGATGCAGGATTTTATGCCTAACTGCCAGGGGCGGGACAATATCTCAAAACAAGCTTGGTGCGTCACGCTGTCAAGCCAAGCTTCGAGACTCAAGCTTACCCTAGGGCTCCAAGTATACAAATAGTACCTACTTGGGGTCTGAAGTCTGTAAATAGTACCTACATTGGGCTATTTGGAGTCCCAGGGTTATACGAAGCTGAGTTTGTCCGGAGTCCGGCCTGCGATTCTCCGGGTCGGGCAGTTCGAACCTTGGCGGCTCGCAAACCTACGAAACATTACGAAGCGCTGTCTCCTAAAACACCTGACGGCATGACCCTGAAATGATGATAAAATGAGGAAGGACGGCTCATAAAGGGGCCTTGATAACTAGACTATAGGATTTTGGGACCCATAAAACTATAATTATAGTAAGGAACCCCCCCAAAATACTACAGGTATTTATTTAGGCCCCTACATTATCCGGAGGAGCCGCAGCAACCGGCCCTCCCCACATGGCACTCCCTGCCTCCGTGCCTCTCCCTGCTCCTACCCTGGAGTCACACCCAATGTCTGAGCGGATTTCTCATAGTTCCATATGCAGCTGGTAGAGAGATGAGCTGAAGAGGATGACAGAGAGGAGATCGGACTTTGCAAACGGCTGGAGAAGCGCATGAAACGACCATGACAGCCCTCGAAACTGAATGCAGCTTCGGCCTGACATCGCTAAGGGGCCCTACGGTTTCTCAACAGCTCTGCTGAAAAACTCTACCATCTCTACATGATCTAGAGCAAGGTGCGCCGTGTCTCCGAAAGGGTTCTTGGGCAAGTCCAGGCTCTCGCGCCGTTCGCCTGAAGGACACTGGGCAATAAATGTAGCCAGATAAACAAATAGATAGATACATAGATAGAACAGATAGACAGATAGATAGATATAGATAGATAATCAATGCATGGTGGTTGATTGCACCTTTTATTTTGGTTGTACGTGCTTGCCGGAACAGCATCAAGGCAGCGGCGTGGGGCTAACCCACGCAAGGAAACAAGGAGAGTAAGGGCTCAGAAGACCCTGGTCTCGCTGGTACGTTTTCCCGAACCCTTAAATTAAACACCAGGTCCCCAAAACCGTCAACCCCGGAACGAAGGTTTGCTATCTTTCCGAGCTGCATGTCAGCTGCAGCGCCGAGGTGCCACTTCCTTGGGACTCAAGCGCTAGATCGAAGTCTGACTGCTTCCATACCTGCTGACTCTGACTGTTCAGCAGTCACAGCCCGGCACGGCCAGGCAGTACACCAGAATCTGGCACATCGACATCCCAACTGCAAGACTCTGACTGTTGAGGTTTATCGGTTACGGTACAGGCAGAGGTGCTCTACGGATGATACGGGACGGGGATTTGTGAACCACCCCCACTCGAGACTATCAGTTCTGAACCTGAATGCAGCAGCTAGCAAAACGGCATGTTGCTAGAACAAACCTAAGAGAAGATTCCAGCAAAATGACTGCAATGTCGCAGGGGCCTGTGAACTGTGAACCCAAGATGGCTCTCGCCTCGTCCACTCCAGAACGTGTGAAACATGTTCTGGAAAAACTTACTGCCTAGCTATCAGATTGACGGCATCTGATGGAAGCGTTTTTTCACCTCACCAACCGAATACTACCCAAAACTCCCTGCAGATGTGCCAACACGTCCCTGCAAACCTTCAATAAATTGGGGTCCTGATAAGTTTCTGCGGCAATCGCTGCAGCACGACGGGATCGAATGCTACAAGTGCCCGCTTGAAATACTTCACTGAAGTTGTTGGGCTCTGCAGAGATGGCCAGCTCCCCGCACGGCAACTGAAGTCTACGCATGCGCCCGACGATACAAAGCCATCCACTGCCGCTGCAACCAAGGGTCGGAAGTGAGATCGTCGGTTTTGCAATGAGCTCATCGAGGTGTCCATATTCTCCTGCAAGCTTTAATTTCTGCGTGCTAGACGTCAGCACGGTGTCCCTCGCCAATGTCGAAAGCCTGTTTATCGCACCAATTCTGGCACCCCTTACGACTAGGAGTAGACAGTTCACAGGCAGGGGTACATGTTCAATTCTTTTCGGAGAATGGAGGTGACGAATCGCCAACCCAGGGGTGTTCCAGACTCCGTGCACGACGACAACGACACC